GTGGGGGGGGGCTTTCTCCGATGCCCCTGCAGAGCCCGTCCAAGTAAAGAGGAGTCACGCCCTGGCACTGAAAGCCTGAAGGAGCCCCCCCCCCCAAGTAACCGGGGATCGGAGGCTCCTGAGTCAGCCCCCCACCCCCAAAGCAAAGTCAGGCCCGCCTAGTGCTCCGGCCCACTGCCAAGGTGCTCAGGGGGTGGGGGCGTGCGGGTACGAATGGCCCCAAGAACTCAGCGCCCCCCCCCCAGGGTCCCACCCCCCACGCGCCATTTCCTGGGGGGGCCATGCCCTCCGCTTGGCTCCAAGGGAAGGCGCGGCGCTGGAGAGCGGTGGAGGAGAGCAGGGACAGCGCGCTCTCCCGAGCGAGGATGCAAATGAAGACAGATGTGCTAAGGAGCTGCACCAGCCCAAGGCACGCAGGCTTCAAAGGAAGTTGGCAAGACAGAAATGAGCCGGTTCAGGGGAGCTGGGAGCGGGGCCGCCGCGCTCCAGAGAAAAAGCGAAGAAGAACGAACCAACCCTCTCACCTACTCGCCAGTTGCGCAGTTCGGCGCTGCCCGAGGCCCGGCCCCCCGGCCAGAGCGGGCAATGCCCCTGCCCTGTTGCTTTGCTGGGTTTGCTTTGCACAGACAGACAGACGGGGGAGGGGGAGACAGACTTTAGTCCTGGATTCCTTCCGGGGAGGGGGCTGCGCTCCAGCCACTAGCCACTAGTTCAGCTGGCGGCAAGCTTCGAAAGTCCACTTGGTGGCTCCCCCGTAGATGTCGATGTTGGTCTCGGACCAGGCGATGACGTTGCCGGCGGGGGCTTTGGTGCTGCACGTGGCCAGGTTGTAGATCTCCCCGGGGCTGAGCTTCCGGTCCCAGATGTTGAAATGGGCCAGTTCGCCCACGAACGCTTGGGTGGCGTCAAACCCCCCGCCCAGGGTGTCCTTCGGAGAAAGGCAACAGCGGGTCACCAGGGCCAGGGCCCCCCGGCCCTGCCGGGAGCGCGGTTCGCGCCTCCGCTGCCCGCCAGCGCTTGGCTCGGAGTCGCCTGGAGCCAGGGCCCGAGTCGCTCCTGTGCCCAGCCGGGGACAAGTCACCGCTCGGGGAGCGCAGCTGGGGAACCGGCGCGGGGCAGCCTGGCTCTGCCAAGGCCCGGGGATCAGAGCGAGCCCCTGCCGAGTCAGGCTCCCCTCCACCCCTAAGGGGGAACCAGCCGCCTGCCTCTGCCCCTTCCCCAACCGCTGCGGCGGGAGAGCAGCCACTGCCCCCCACCCCACCCACCCACCGCAAAGTCTGCCAGGGGCCGGCCTCAGCTGCGCCCTGCTCTAGCCCCAGGCCGGGCATGCGAGTGAGAGAGAGAGAGAGAGAGCGCGCCAGCCCTCGGGTCACTCCCCCTCTTCCAGCCCTGACCTGCGGCCCCCTCCCCTGCACGCCCCCCCAAGGCAGCCCAGGCCTATTCCACGGGGCTGCCCAGCCGGCCCCTGCTGCCTGCGCTGGCGGCACCTTACCTGCTCCTGGCCCAGGACCAGGACTCCCTGCGGTTTGATGGGGTGATAGGGAGCCAGGTTCTCTCCGTGGCCCCCCTGCGTGCCGTCCTGGTAGGCCTCCCACACGCCGTCCCGCGTGGTCCAGGTGATGCAGATATGGTGCCACTTCCCATCGTTAATAACGAACGGGAGCTTAGCGACCTGTGGGGGGGGGGGGTGGCGGACACAGGGGGGTTACTGCAGCCCCGGGGCCGCCGAGTCAGTGAGGTCCCTAGATCGGCCCAAGCCTCCCCCCCTCCATCTCTGAGTTAATAGGGACGGAGCCGAGGGAGCTCCATAGCCCGGAGAGAGGCGCCGTTGGGACCTGCCCCTGCTCCCAGGGAGGTCAGTGGCGAAGCTGCCAAGGAGTTCAAGTGCCGCAGGATCGGGCCCATTCGGCAAACTCTGTCTCGGACGGGGACCTGGACTCCACTGGCGGTACGAGACCCGAGCTATGGGTAAAGTGTTTGGGTTTGTCTGTCCTGGGCCCCCTGGGGCCTGGCTCCACACCGCCCTGCCCCGGGCTGTCTCTCTCCCCAGCGCAAGGGGAGGGGGGTGAGACACGCCACTCCATCCCCGTGGGAGCGGCGGAGACCCCACGCGCGGGGAGCGGAGAGCCCGGGGGCGCTGCGGGGGCTCGGGGGCCCAGCCTACCTTGTCGTTAATGAGGATCTCCATGGGGTTGTTGCCCCACTCGATGAGCACCAGCTCGTTGGCCTGGCCCGGCACCGCGTAGGAGAAGGGCGTCCCCACCCCGGGCGAGGCGTTGGACTTGATCCACATGCCCACGGAGAAGGCGTACATCTCGGGCAAGCTCTTCTTCACCTTGGCGTACATGTAGTTCGTCCGCAGCGGGAAGGTCAGCTGGAACTTGTCGGTCGGCCGGTTGTCTTTCTGCCCTGCCCGGAGAGAGAGGGGAGGCGGTTTGCTCTCCGCGTGCGGGGTCTCTGCACGGAGCAGGAGAGGGGCCCTGTGGAGACACAGCTGGGCCGGCCTGCCCCTTGCTCAGGACCAAGGCTAGCGGCGCCAGGGGCCCTCCCTTTCCCTCCCCCCCCCCCCGTTATGTAACAAGCCTTAAGATGGCACCGTCCCAACCCCGCCAGCCCGCCGCTGCGCTCTATCCGGCCCATTGGAACAGCGCTTGGGGAACTGGGGTCCCCCTCCCCCGCTTACAGCCTGCTTCCATCTCCGCCATAAAGCCGGAGGGACCGGCCCCAGTCAGGGCCCCAAGGCGCAGCGGGCCGGGCCGGGCGCAATCTCGCAGCTTGCTGAAGTTTGGGAGGTAGGAGGGCGCCTCGCACACGCCCCAGCCCGCCCCGAGGTCAGCTAGAGGAGAGCCCTGCAGAGGCGCGGGCCCCAGACGCGTCCAAAGCGCAATGGTGTCTCATGGGCCAGTTGGGTGTTTTCCCGGGGCAGATGTCCTGGGTCGAGGACACAACACGGCGGGGTTCGGGCGCTTCCCGGATACCTGGTGAGCAGAGCAGGACCCTTCGCCCCCCGCCGCCAGGTCCCGCCAAGGGACACAGCACGAGACACGGGTTTAAAAACGGGCCACTGGTTGGAAAGAGGAACTTCAAGCCCGCGTCTCTTTGGGCGGGGGGTGGGCGAGGGAGTGAGGTTTTTATCCCGCCCTGCGCTAGGGTTTGGGTTAGGAATGGTGCATTTAAAACCCACCGTGTCCATTGCAGCCTGAGCCTTTACCTTTCTCCAAGTCACTGATCCTCTGGTGCAGGGAAGTTAGCGTGCTCTCGATTTTGCTTCTTTCCTCGGACTCGTTCTTGGGATTTAACTTTCCTTCCTCCAGGCTATTCACTCTGGACAGAACTTGCTTCTCCAAGTCATCTATTTTATTCTGGAGTATATCCTTCAGGTGGTTGGTCTGGCCTGACGAGTTGATCCTACTAAACTGCTGCGGGGAGCAAAGATAAGAAGTGGATTGTTACAAACCCAATGAACACCATGCGGTATTTACCCGGGACAAGCTCCAGCGCTCCCCAGCTGAGAGTTAAACTCATTTAGCTCTTATCAAACAAGCGGCCTCGCTTAATTAAACTAAAGCAAACACCGCCGCCGTAGTCACGTTTTAGGCTGTGCTTTGCCTTGCTGCATTTGCCCCTCAGACAGGACAACGTTGCACCATTCCAGGTTACACCGGAGCCAAGAGGTGCACGAGCCAGGGCCATACATAGGGTCGCCCCTTCCCCCTTTGTCTAGCTCTAAGGAATAACCGACATTAAAGGTACCTCTAGGTTTTCTAGCCTTGTCTTAAGTGACTGCAAAGTTTGCCCGAGTTGGCTCAAGGTCTCAGCCGCTGGCGCCCGGGACAGATCCCCCATGGTGTTTTTGGACGAGCCGGGCTGTTTGCGGCTGGATCCCCCGCCCGTCTTGGACTCGCTGGGGCCCGCCTCCGGCAGGCTCTGGCTCTCACACCGGCCCAGCTTGGTGGTCAGCTCCCGGATGGTCTCTTTGTGGTTCATGATGGTCTCCCTTTGCTGGAGCACTGTCTCCCGGAGCTGCAGGACGGTGGTCTGCAGCTCCTCGGCGGTGCCGCTGCTCGGCAGGGAGGAGGTGCACATGTCCATATCCACCGGCACCGAGGTGCAGATGAAGCGCGTCTGGCCGAAACTCTGGGCGCATGCCCTCAGCAAGAGGACAGAGGCGAAGAAAAGGCTGCACGGGGCCCCCGCAGGCATGGCTGGGCCTGGCGCCAAGTTCCCCCCACGCCGAGCCCGGGCTTGGCTTCAGCACCCGGGAGCTGTCCAGCGAACTGCCGAGCCGACTGCGGTACGCGGGCTGCTTTATAGCCCGCGGGCGGGGCCACGCCGCCATTGACGTCACCACGGGGTGGAATCCCGGTTTAATTGCCTGGCTCGCGGCGCGCGCTGGGGAAGGGGGCCCGGGAGGGGGCGGGGGGCTCCCCCTCCCTCTGCGGCAGTGCCCACGCACAGATACGCGCTCCGTGGGACAGTGCCTGGAAGGGGGCGGGGGGGTCACTGGAGGGAGGGTAACCAGCGTGCGCGCGGGGGTAGTGGTGTGTGTGTCTGTTTGTGTGTGTGTGTGTGTGTACACGCGAGGGGGTGTGTGCAGGACCGGGGGATAGTGGTGTGTGTGTGTGTGTGTACACGCAGGGGGGTGTGTGCAGACCGGGGGGATAGTGGTGTGTGTGTGTGTGTGTACACGCAGGGGGTGTGTGCAGACCGGGGGGATAG